GGAGCACTAGGAAGAGTCAGAGGAGGCTGATTGTTTCACAGGTTATCTGTCTCAATATAGTAAAAATGTCAGTAAATAGGACAAAAGGGTCGTTTTTATCAAAATGACCTACAGCAGCTTTAAAGTAATGGACCTCACTCTACAGGCAGTTGTGGCTTTATTAACGGACCACTAACCAGAAGGGCCTGCAAGCTGAGTAGCATCTAGAAACAGCTAGCTAACAGCGGCAGTCAGTGAACTGCTCACTTCCGTATGCAGTAATCAACGAGGGCTAGGTTAATGCATCGCCAATAGATGCTACACAGCTATAACACAGTACACTGGGATCACGCTGAATCCTAACAGCTGTTACACACGGTGCTCGAACCTTACAGCATGACTTTAGCGACGTGGATGTCCACAGGAACTCTTCTATCTTTGAACGCTGTCGTGATAAAACAGCCGAACGTTAAGGCCGCCATGACGCTCAGAGAGAAAGCGAACAGAGAGTTAGCTCTGGACAGGACCGTGTTCATCTTTAACAAACGGCTACAGCTACAGGGCTGATAACAGTAGCAGTAATTTAATAACTAATGTATCGCACAGGCTGTTTGCGGTAGCTAGCTACTATGAGGAAACAGGAAGCGGAAAGCTTCCAAGAATTAACACGTACTTCCCCTTCGTGCGTTTCAAAATAAAGGCATTTTTGGCTGCTGGGCTGTTTTGTGATCGAAAGAAGTGTTGTAGGAGAAAAGGGAAAGATTTTGTTTAAGAAGATAAACTTTGTATTTAACGCACTGCAGTGTAGTGGTAGTGGTGTTCTTACATTTTGTTTTATTCTCCTTTGTGAAAGGTTAATTAGGTACTTCCGTTTTATGTATCACCGTTAACTTGACGCGACAGCAAACAGAAAAAACATTTGAATGCGAGCGATGAATAGGCGGAAGCAGTACATTCTTTTTTCCAATAACTTTATCCATAACCAATTCAAGAACAAATCTGACAAAATCTGCCTACATGTATGGTCAAATGAGCTCAAATCAAGACTGTATCAAAGCGAGGCATAAAAAAGATCAGAGAATTCCTGAATAATAAAAGAAGTTAGATTTCTGGGGTCTGTGGGTTAAAACACAAAGTAAAGGGCCCTTGCCATTTATCATAAACCCAAATGATTCAAAGCCTGGTTTCCCCTCAGAAATGACACATATTCTCATCTTCACCTCTCTCCTCTCATACTGTAGTTCTTTTTTGGGCATAAAATCAAACAAAACAACAGAAGAGAGCAGCCTCTACTGGCAATCAGAGGGAACTGCTACACTAAATCTCTGGAACAGCCCCTGTCCCTCTTAAGGTAATGGCCTTTAACCCTTAACTTTCTACACATCTCAGGTTGGCCTCTTGTACCAAAAGACTGACAACATTTGTGTCAACAGTTCAGCAGGCTTACATTTCCTAAAGTCAATCCAATGCAACACAAAATCAATGTGTATGTATTCACTGTACATACTTGTATATCAGAGCTACAGTGTTAGTCAACCCTGTCTTCATGTTCTAATGCACATCACACCTCACTTCCTCTCTTACAGTACACCTGGGAAAGAATCTGGTTACATGCCTGATCCATCTTCTGCAGATATTTCCACACATTCACATTCATTGCGTCCAGGAGAGACATCTGATGGTGTGGACACCAGTGGTCAGAAATGTTTCACCTCCACAAGGGAAACTCTTCCTCTATGAGGGTTAAGGAATGGCAAGTATGAAGGATGAAGCACAGCGTAGCAAGCTGAAGTCTACTTTACATTCATTTTAATGTCCTGTTCTGTTGTGCATATGGATTGTTAATACAGAGTTCTGGTGGTTGAGAAAACTCCCAATGAAATCTTTCATCAAGTTAGGTAAGCATCTGTTCTAATGGAGCTCTACATTCATCTTCTGTCTTCCCCTGCTTTTCCTTCTTCAGCTTCCTATTTCCAATTCTCTCCCTGACAGGTCTTATCCTGATGCACCCCCAGGTGGTGGAGGACTGATACGACACCCTGAAGGAATACAGCTTCCAGCGTCCACTTCAAGTGACCTTTGACTGGCTGAAATGTATTTAATACAAGAAAAGAATTGGGCTGAATTGACTCCATTTCTCAAAAATATACAATTTCAAGATGAGATCTCTCTGTAAACTGCATATCTTTCATAACATCTGTGTAAAGCAGGACTGGATGATCCTGTTGAGGTTTACTGCAGTCTGTACATGCTAACACTATCTGGATTCAGGTTTTCAGTGATGCATTGTAATTTCCTTTCCTTGTGGGTTATTCCCCCATGTCCAGTCTTTTCATGCAATACCTGCAGCAGTCAGCTTCATCTGGAGTGTATTCTTCTTGAGGGGAGCCACTTTTACCTTCCCCATCATTAATGAAACATGAAGGGTGTTTTGTCATTCATCACTCTCAAATAGCCAACTGTGCCATACCCTTGCTCACCTAGTTGTGCCTGCGTGTGTCAGCCAAAGTTGTTGGGTGTGAGGCATCTTCTCATC